CCATCACTCCCCTCCCCCACCCCCGCCCCGCCCCCTTCCACCCCTCCCCCTTGCACACCTACTCTTTGCCGAACTGTCCTTCCCCATGGTCCTTCTCCTCCTATCCACAAAGACGGGTGCTGAAGCCTCTGTCGCGAACCTTTGCCACCCGTCCACCGCCTCCCCGCCCCACCCCTGCTGTGCGCCCACTATCCACATCGTGATATGTTCAAGGCCTCACTCACTGCACACTATGGCTACGACTCGTCGTCGGAAAAGTCCTCGTCAACAAGGGTCGGGGCCTCGCGGGCAACCGAGACGTCGGCGGTCGAGTGGGCGTGCTCGAGCTCGTGCTTGCCGAGCTGCTTCTGCATGATGAGCAGGTCCTCGTCAGTGATGGGCCGGTAGACGTCGCGGAGCTCGCAGCCGACGCAGTAGAGCGCAGCGGCGAGGCAGACGGTAAAGAGGACAACGGCGACGCCAAAGATGAACTCGGGCATGCCCGAGGCGTCGGGAAGGGTGCCCGACTGGAAGAGGATGCCCATGAGGAAGAGGACAATGAGGGCAAAGTTGAGCAGAGCCTCGAGCCAGTTGGCCTTTTGGTAGGCAAACGGGTAGACCAGGAGCTGGATCCACAGGGCAACGACAAGGATAAAGACGGCGGTGACCGACTGAAAGAGTGTAAAGCCGGTGAGGAACGAGCCGGCGGCGATGAGGAAGAGCTTGCGCGCAAAGACCACCATCTCCCACCAGTAGTATCGGACATGGAACCGGAGGTAGACCGGGCCGAGCCAGCGGTACATCTGCTGGCCCTTGCGTGAGACGTCGTAGAGCTTGTTCTTGCGAATGTACAGCGCCGAGAAGAGCGCAACTGGGATACCAATGACGTAGATGAGGAAGCCGAGGACGGCCAGCGGGAGGAGGGTGAACCAATCAGACGAGTAGCAGAGGATGTCTGCCGACGCGTCGAGGGTAAACGTGTTGTCGCCCTGCTCGGTGCAGTCAAAGAACGAGACGGTGGCCTGCGAAATCGAGATGTAGAAGAAGAGCAGGAAAGTGACGTACGTCGGCACAATAATGTCCCACGCCCGCGAGGTCTTGATCGGCCGCTCGTACGACTTGGCCAGCTGCCACTGGCGGAGCAGCCAGACAACGACGTACACCACACTCATAAACGCGGCCACAAGGGCAGGGAAGAACATGGTGAAGATCCACTGCTGCGACCACGACATGCCGGTGAACGAGCACTCGGGAGCAGTCAGCTGCGGGTTGAGGTTGAAGCCTGAGAGGTCGTTGAAGAAGACCTTGATATACTGCGGCCACTTGAGCTGGTACAGCGGGAGAATGGCCACCGTTTGGATAAAGTTGATCGAGACCGTGACCGACGAGATCTTGCGGTACCACCGCGCCAGCTCGACGCAGAGAACAAGGAAGAGGCCGAGGATGGCGATGCCAAAGAAAAACGTGACCCCAGGTGACGACGGGCACTTGTAGCACTGCGAGTTGAGCTTGTAGTACCCGCTCTTGCAGTTGGAGCAGAGCCGGCCCTCGTAGCCCTCCTCGCACCGCGAGTCTGGCCCTCCCAGGCACGACGACGGCAGCGGGCAGGTGAAGAAGAACGACCGGTCGTCCGGCGACGCCCAGAACCCGACCGTGCCCGACGGCAGCTCCGAGCCGTCGCACACGCCGCCGCGCGGGCACCGCGTGCACGGCCCACCCACAGGCCCGTAGAAGCCCTTCTGGCACCGGCAGGCCGCCGACGGTGCCCCGACGGCGCCCGGAAACAGCGCCTCCATGTTGACCGGACACGCCGTGCACGCCGTGCCGGACGCCGAGTTCTGCACAGACGTGAGCGGGCACTGATACAGCGCCGTGAGCGCAAACGTGGCCGACCCGCCCGACGCCTCTACGCCGATGTAGTACACCGGCGCGTCCGCAACAGGCACGCGGACCGACCTCCGTGAGGTCAGCGACACGTCCTCCTGCGACCGGAACTGGAACCGTCCGCCGGCCGCTGTAGGCTGCTTGATCGTCTGCTGCGGGTGCGTGACGTTAAAGGCCGTGACAAACAGGTTGATGGCGCCCTGCGACGGCGCGTTCGCCACCTGCAGCGGTGACGCAGAGCCCACAATGAGAAGCGTCCCGCCCGGCGAGTCCACGTCAATCGAGTAGTACTTGTACTTGGAGAACGACGCCGGCACATCCGGGAAAATTCGGTCCTGCAGCACGCCGCCGTTGTCCAGCGTCGTTCCGTTGACCGGCACCTCCTCGACCTGCGTCGTAAAGGTGAACGTCGGCGAGATCGACGACCGCGCCCCATTGAGCGCCAGAATCGCCCACGAGTACGTCCGCCCGGGCACTATCGATGCAGACGTCAGCGGATACTGCGGCACGTCAGGCGCAATGTCGCGAAGGCCTTGCGCAGGCGCCAGCGTCAGATTCGCCGCCACATCCAGCACTCCGCGGCCTTCGGCAAACAGAATCCGGTACTGCGGGTACTTGCCGGCCGTCACGTCGGCCGCACTCACGCCGCCCTGCAACGGATCGCCCGGGCACCGCCGGCCAAACGACGCCACAGGCTCCCACACCAGCGGTGTGCCGATCCGAAAGTTGGTCGTCCCGTTGGCCGGCGAGAGAAGCTTGACCGGCGACGGGTCAATCGACACGCAGTCGATGGCCTGAGCAAAGTACCCCATGCTCGTCTCGACTGCATCCTGGTAGTAGAACGAGTCTGGCGTCGTCGTCGTTGTCGGCGAAAACACAAGCGTGTCTCCGGCCTGTCCCACATGCGCGTTTCCGCTCCAAGTGCCGCCGGTCACCACGTCGCTGGGCGACGACGGGTTGATGGCGTCCACGCCCGGGTTGCCGCCACTCGACGAAGTCGAGAGGTAGAACGTCGCCGTGCCTTCGATGACAAACTGGTACTTGCGATCGCGGGTAAAGATGGGTGCGGCAAGGACGTTGTACGGTCCACCCGAGGTCTCAGAGAGTCCGAGGTAGTTGGGCGCACTGGACGAGGGACCCGGATGCCCAAAGCCAGGCACACCAGCCGACGTGGCTACGCCGACGTAGTACGTCTTCTCGATTTCTGCAGCCCATGCCCGGACCACCACCACCACACATGCATGGGTAAGTACCCCCCCCCCCCCCCTGCCCCCCCTGCCCCCTTTCCCCCCCTAACAACAGCGTTGTCTTCCCTCAGCGCCCTAGCCTTCCACGTACCCCCTTGCCTTGCAAGGGTGTGGCGGTGGAAGAAAAAGGGTCGGGGAACGCCACCCCGCCGTGTCAGCCCCCACGCCAGCGGCGCCAACCACTATCTCCTTCGGGAGGAGGGAGGGGGGAAACCCACGATGCGTACCGGTTGTCTGGGCTGTGGCAAGACCAGCCACGAGGACTACCGCCATGTAGCACACCCAGTACATGGCTGGCGTTTTGTTGTTGTTGTAAGTGTGTGTGGCTTGTGCAAGGGTGGGGGAAGGTGGGGCGAGGGGGGGGAGGGGAGGGGTGGAGTGGGGGAGTTGGGGAAGAGTGTGGCCTTCGGCAGAGGTGGCTCGGTTGGTAATGATGATGGCCATCGAGAAATAATCGATGTCATGGCCAAATCAACCGTAACCGCCAACCACCAACCAACCAACCAATACCACCAATCATTGGTGACAGCAACCAATGGCATTGGGTCGATCCCCCCTCTTCCTGGCCACCCCCCCTCTCCTCCTCCTCTCCTCGGCACACCCCATCAGTGTTGGCACTCACACCTCGTTTGGCCATGGGCATTCGCGGACTCCACAGCAAGATCCATGCGGCGTCGCAGAGGGTGGTGGCCCGAACCCGGCTGAAGAGCCTGGGCCGGGTCGGTGTGGATGGTGAGGGCCTGCTCCACGCCCTCTTCACCCTCTCTCGCGAGCGGAGCCACCACGGATGCGGCTGCCCGTGCGCCACAGGCTGTGTCACGGGTCTCATCGCCTACTCTCAGACCGTGACAGACTACCTCGCCGCCCTCCTCACCGCGCTTCCGGACCACGGCGAGCTTGTCGTCTTTGTTGATGGCGAGCGTGGCGCGGCCAAAGACCGCACCCGGATCTCTCGCCGCGCCTCCGCGGTCCGCGCCGCTATGAACGCCCTCGGCCGCAGCACGTCGCGATGCTCGTCTGGGGTTGTTCTGCCGCCGGCGCTCCTCCGCCATGCCTTTCTCACTGCCGTGCTCGATGTTGCAGACGCTGGTCGCATCACCCTCGTCCGCCTCGCCTCGGACTCGGACGCGGGGATGGTGGCGTACGGCGCCGCGGCCGAGACCCGCCTCGACGCGCTCATCGCGCAGGACTCAGACTTTTTGGTCTATCCTGCGCTTGCCGGCTACATGCCGATCTCGTCGCTGAGCGCGCTGGATGACCCAGACGCTGCCTCGGGACTCCTTCTTCCGCCGTTTGTCGTTGCTGCCGCGCTCGGCTTGCCGTCGCCGCTGCTGCTGCCAGTCTTTGGCGCGCTAGCCGGCAACGACTACGTTGATCTCTCCAAGTGGCATGCTCGTCTCATCTCGCGCCGCTCATCCCGCGACAAGGAGCTCTCGGCGGTTGCGAGCTACATCGCGTCGTCACGCAAGCTCGTCGCTTTTGCCCAAGCCTGCGAAGCCGGCAGTAGCACCGGTAGCACCGCCAAGCCTCGGAACTGGGCTGCTGCGTTGAAACCACTCTTCCGCGATGTTGTTCGCGGCCGCAACTCGGCTGCCCGCGATCTCTGGGCCGTCATCGTGAGCCAGGTCGAGGGCTACCTCACCGGGAGCGGCCTTGCGCCAGAGTCCGACAACGTCGGGGTTGTGGGCCCCGAAGCGCTGCCGCGGGACTTGCGCGACCTCCAGCACGCTCATGTTCTTTGGATCCCGCCGTGCTATGTCTGCCCCTCGGTCGACAAGTTGGGCAAGAGCCTGGCACCGCTGGTGGCCCGGGTGGCCCGGGCGACTGGCCTCAACACCCCCCGCGTCACCATCTACGCTTCTTCCTCGTTCAACTACGAGCGCACCACCATCACGCTGCCCACCCCTGACGACGATGGCGAGCCAGCGGCACTTTCGCAGATTGAGACCGTCGACTACCGCGCGCTGGTCAAGGACGCTGCAGCGTTTATGGTCGAGGCCGGGCTGGCGACCGCTGACGAGGCCGCCGTGCTGACGGCTGCCTCGCGCCGCGTGCTGTGCGGCAAGGCCGACGGCACGATCCTTCCGCACTCAATGAGCAACGAGTGCGATGGATTCGACGCCTTTGTGCTATCTACATACGGGGTTGTCCTCTGGCTCGTCATCCTCGAGGCCGAGGCGCGGGTCGCCGAAGGAACCTTTCCGCTCCGGCACCCGCTGCTCGTCGACGGGCTGGCGGTCCATCGGGTGGCCGACAGCGTGCAGGCGTGAGTGCACTTGCTGGTTCACATCCACGACCGCGGCGCCCGGCTCCGGCTCACCACCCTCGCTTCCGAGAGGATTTCCGACATGGCACGCATTTCGTCGGCAACGGTGTACCAGGCGAGGAAGAACTCGACGCAGACGTAGCCCGCTAGAACGACCGCCATGAACATGAGCGGAAGAACCGAGACCAGGCCGATGGAGAGGGCCTGGACAAGGAGGCCGCCAAACAGCTGGCCTGCTGACGAGCCGTACGTCGCAATCGCAACCACAGTGTACGCGTACCGCGACGAGACAAAGAGTGAGAGCAGCAGGATGGCAACGAGGCCGGCGAGCGCGCGCCAGAACCGCAGCTTGTGCCGGTTGCGCCTGGCGGCAATCTCGACTACTCCGGCTTCGATTTCGGCGACGAGCTCGGTCAGAGTCTGGTCGCGCGTGCCGGCCGCAGGTAGCTGCGGCAGCGGCAGCGGGAGCAAAGTGCTCGAGTCGACGAGCCGAAACGAGGCCGCAACCGGCGCGTGGTCCGAGACTGGGACAGCAGGCTGCTCGCCAGGCACAACGAGATCGTCGAGCGGGCGGGCATACTCGAGAAGCCACGGCTGGTGCGGAGCATAGGCGTAAAAGATGTAGTCCATCCGCTGCGCCTCACCGGTTGGGCCCTCGCCAGTGAAGCCGGGCTTGCCGGCGCGGCCGTCGTCAGACTCGGCGTACGCGTCGCGAAGGCCGCACAGATGGTGGACAGCGGCGACGACAAGCGAGTTCGGCGGGGCATTAAAGTCGCCCATGTCGACAACAAGAATAACAGGGCCCACAGCGCGCGAGCCGTCGGGCAGGACGTAGCCGGCGCCGCCGAAAGGCGTCGAGCCGGCCACCGACGACACAAACGAGGCGTGCTCAAAGGCCTGGCCAAGGCGGGTCTTGGAGTACTCGTCGTGCGGGTCGGCCGAGTACTGCGCCACCAGATGGGTGTCAAAGACGTCGATGAGGCCATGCGGCGAGGCGACGCGGACCCAGCCGATGCCCTTTGCGCCGTAGTAGTCGGCTTGATGAAAAGCGTACGGGCGGCCGGTGACCGAGAACCGATGGTAGGCGACGTCGACGATGGGCCAACGCGAGATGATCATCAGGCCAGTCCCATGCTGGCCCGGCCAAACTGCCATGCCCGAGCCGTGGCAAAAGGCGTGGGTGTAGGTGAGGCCGGCGTCAGCAGCCAGCTCCCGCACCAGAGCCCGATCGCGGACGTGCCACACCTCCTGCAGGGCAATGAGATCGTAGTCGGCCAGCACAGCGCCCAGCGTCCGCAACCGCTTGCGCACCAGCGGTGACGTCGGCACGCCCCACATGTTGGCCGAGAGCACTCGCACAGAGCCTGGACTGCTCGTCGCCGCCACCGGGAACTCGCCCTTTACCGCTGCGCCCTGTGGCTGCCGCGGCGTGTCCGGCCCGCCAAAGTCTTCGCGGGCCCGCCCCACAAGCGTCTGCACTCCGGCGAGCAGCATGGTTGGTCGGTGACCTGGCTGAGATGTGTTGGGAGCTGGGTGGTGGGTGTGAGCAGTGGGTGGGAGTGGTGTGCCGGAGCGGGGGGCGGGGGGCGGGGGGGGGAGGCGAGGGCCAAGAGCGGGAGCGGGGGGTGTGGTGAGGGCGGCCGGCCACGTCGCACACCGGCTCCGGCATATTGGCGGAGTTGATCGCGGCGACCACCATGAATCCGTTGCATCTGTTTATTCGTAATAGTACGAGCCAGAGTCAGAGTATTCGTCCGAGTCTTCGCCTCGGAGGGCGGCGGCCTTGCGGCGGGCGGCCCGCCGGGAGGCGGCGAGACGGCGCTCCTGTTCGGCGCGGGCGTCAAGGATTGCCTGGATCCGGCGCTTTTCGCGGATGGGATCCAGATTGAAGCGGTAGACCGATGGGTCGATGTCTGCGGGCGCAGTTCGGGCGTTGGAGCTCGAGAGTGGGCGGGCGAGAAAGACGTCGGCGGTGGGCACAAAGCGAGGCGGGCGGAGCGCGGTTGACGACGTCGACGAGCCCGTCGACGGCTGGCGGAGCGCCTCGGCGGCGGCGGCCATCATGCCACGGGTTGCCGCGTCGCGATGGGATGTCGTCTCGAGGTCGAGGAGCGCACCGTCAGCTTCATCATACGGCAGAGTGTCCTCCAACGGGGTGCGGAGCAGGTTCTGGAACGACATCATGATGTCGCGCGACGAGCGCTCGATGACCGGCTGCGGCGAATCGTCGCGCAGGAGCGGGCGCTCCTTCTTGATGGGCGAGACCGAGTGCGAGATCGAGAGCTGGCTCGAGGCTTTGGCCTTGACGTGTGAGACATACGGCGAGACAATTGACTTGGGCTCGTTGAGCATGCCGTTGGGCAGGCCGACCATCGACGCAAACGGGTCGTACGAGTCGTCGTACAGCACGTCCTCTTCGGCGTACGAGAGCGATGGATCGTGCCCGCGGCTCTCGAGACCCGATGTGATGGCTTCAAGCCTGGCCTGCATTGCAGCCTTGGAGACACCCACGCCGGTGTTATACGGCTTGACCTCGACATGTCCATGATACAGCGCTTCGGTCCTCTGCGAGAGCACCCGCCGCCGGACGGCATGCGAGCCAAAGTTGTGCTCGGCTGCCTGCGGACCAATTTGCAGCGCAAAGAGCGGCCCGAGGGGGAAGGCGTAGAACTCGGAAGCCTTTTGAACAGTGGTGAGGAAGACCGACCGGAGCCGCGACGACGGCCGCCGCCGCTCGCCCCGTGACTCGCGCATCGACGATCCGTCGCCGCCGCTCGAGCCGGCCGCGTCGGTCGAGAGCGAAGCGCCCGAGAGTATCCGTCGCGATCCCGACCGCGAACGCGGCCGCGCCGACTGCGCTCGCCGACTCGCCCCATGCCCGTGCCCGCCGCCACTGCTCCCAGCGAGAAGCGACGACTCGCGCTTGCGCTCGCGCGCCAGCCGCTGCCGGCGGATCCGCCGCATTGACTCTGCCCGTGCTACCTTGGGCCGTCCGCCAGCCTTCGTCCCACCCTTGGGCTTCACCATCGCCATCACCACAGAGCCGTCGGATGTTGACGCAGCAAGAGAGGTCTCCAGCATCGACGGCCGCGGCGCCTTGGTTGGCGTGCGCGTCTGCGCCACAGCTGCGGCAAGCTCGGCACGCCCAAATACCGGCCCGCTCTTGCTGCCCTCTGCGCCGTCCGGCCCAGTGAGCTCGGCGGTTGTGAGCGCACCGCTGGAGCTGTTGGTCGTGCTCGGCATGTACATCAAGCGCGGAGACCGCGGTGAGCCGGCTGTCATGACCAGCGCCGGCTGCATGTCTTCCAGATACAGCGGCGGCACAATGCCCTCGTCCCACGGACCATGCAGCGGCAGGTGGAGCGCGGACGCGTCGAGCGCCGCCGATGCACGCAGCCGGACTGAGACAGCGAGCGAGTGCACTGGATTGTGCTTGTAGTTGGACGGGAGCGAGAGTCGCCGTCGGTACCGCGGGCCACCCGACTCGACCACCATGTCGCGGAACCGGACGTAGTTGAGGCGGACCTCATCGATCCGCCGGCTCCGGAGCAGATCGACCAGATCCTCAGTGTCGTAAAAGTGTGCCGGAAGACGGCGGATGGTTCGCGGATAGAAGGAGAGCTCATGGATTGAGCCAAACATGTGCCGGCGCTGCCGAGGTGTTCGCCGCTTTGCTCGTGGCGACTCGGGAGTCGACTCGTCCGATGTGGCGGTCGGCACCGGCCGCAGGCGGCCCATTGACGTCGAGAGCGCCGAGAGCGAAAGCCTCCGCGCGTGCTTAACCTGGCGCGCCGACGGCGGATCAGGCGTCACCAGCGGCTGGCTCTCGTTGTGCCGCGAGGTGTGTGGCCGGCTGAGCGCGAGCGAGTGCGGCGAGAGAATACCGCCTGACGAGCCGTCGGCCGACAGCATGGTGGTGATGATCGGCGGCGCAGGCGGCGGCGCAGAGGACGCGGCCGCTGGCGGCCGTGGCTCTGCCAGCGACGATGATGATATCGCGTTCTCCGCCCGCAGCCTGGCGGTGTGCACAAAGCCAAAGAGCGCGCTAGCTGGGTCTGGGAACAAGACCCGGGAACGATGGAGCGAAGACTCGAGATGGCGCGAGCCACGCGGCTCGGGTCGCGGGTAGCACCACAACAACGGAATAGTGGCTTGGCTGGCGCTGACGTCGGCATCAGCCTCGGCCTCATCGTCCGAGTCCAGTAGGAGCGCACGGGTCTCTGCAGCGACGACAGCGTCGATGGTGTCGACGACATCGCGGACGGTGGTGGCGAGTTCGAGAAAGATTCGCTTCTGCTCGATGTTGAGCGAGGGCAGGGCGTTGTTGCGCAGGTAGTAGCGAAGCGTCAGAAAGGTTAGCTGGCGCGATTGCTCGGCCTTGTACTTGTTCGAGGGATGGATGACAAAGAGCGGGCCCCAGCCAAAGCCGGCATCGAGCTCGACGAGGATGTTCTGAACCAGTTCCGAACCAGCGGCAAAGCGAACAATGCACTCTGCCGCCTTGATGCGAATGCGTTTGTCCTCTGCATCCGTCAGCGAAAGCAGCCGAGACAAGCCGCGATGGGCGAGGGCAGTCACCGCAGAGTCCAGGAGCCTGCCCGACTCGGAGGCGTAGTGCAGCAGCTCGGTCATGACGCCCACGAGCTTAGCCGGCGGTTTGCTGTGGAGCCACTCACTCAGCGTCTTGAGTCTAGCATGGACATGTGCCCCTGACTTGCCCATAAGCGTGTGTGTGGGTGGGGGGGGGGGGGGGGGGGCGTGGAGTGGCACCACATACAGCTGGTTGGATATGTCACCGCCAACGGTTGCGCCACGCCAGGCCGCACGCGCTGATGACGGCACACCAGTCACTGATGGGATTGATTGCCGTGATGGTGGCGATGGATGGGAGGGATTAGAGGAGGTGAGGGACGATAAGAGTGGAGGGTGGGGTGGGGTGTGTGTGGGGTGGGGGTGGTGGGGTGGGGTGTGTGTGGGGTGGGGGTGGATGTGTGTGTGCGCTCGGTAAGGGCAGGCCTGTGATGGTGGCCAAAGACGGGCGAGGTATGAGAATGATTCCCTCGGCAGCACTTTGTCGTGCACTTGCTGTCTCCGCGCCGCTTGATCAAGGCCATCACACAAGGAGCAACCACTTCTGGATCATGGATCAACACCATCACTATCGCCATCACCATCGCTCACCATCGCCTTACCCTCAGCTGTATGCCATCCTCGGCCCGCTCAGGCCACTGACCTCACCGCCGCTCCGGTGGCTTTGACCTCAACAGCGGCGACCTCGCGACTGGCGGCCACCTGACTCACATCTAGCAGCCACAAAAGGCATGCTGGTGTGCAGCCATGTGCTGGCGGGGTACCTGGTGCTGGCGGCGGCACGGCGGGTGGCGTTTATGCGCGCGACGGTCGGCGAGGTGACGGCGGCGCACGATGTAGTCCTCGTCCTTGCGTCGCTCATGCCTGACCTCATCGACAAGCTTCGGTACATGTCTGGTGTGGCGAGCGCATCGCGATCGTTCGGGCACACACTGGTGGTGGTCATGGTCGCATCGCTGGCTTTTGGTGGGCTGCTGACCTTCGTCGGCGCCTCGCGCCCGTCATCGCACGCCGCTGTCGCCGCCGCCGGCATGATCTCGCACCTGCTGGCTGACATGACTTGCGGTCACGTGCCGTGGTTCTGGCCGATGCAGGACTTTCGCTTCCCGTCGATGATTCACACCCACATGTCGCGGACTGCGCTGGCGCTGATCGAGGCTGCATCGCTCGCCTTTGTTGCGCTCCACCCGGGCTTGCTCGCGCGATGGGGCCGCGGGCCGGCGGCTGCGCTGGCAGTCCTGGCATGGCTGCTCTCGGTCTGCATGTCATCGGCGCTTGCCAAGGGCTACATTCGCGGTGTACTTGTTGCGGGACGCGGGCTGCTTACATAGGCAAGACCACCGTCGGGGCATCGTCGCCAAACTCAGCGCAGAGCGCGGCCTGAATGGCGGCGGCGTCGTCAAGCGCTGTGGCGGCGAGGCCGCCGACGACCCGATCGAGCGCTCGTTGCTCGCCCTCGAGCTCGAGCTCCCATCCAAATCGGTCGCGGGCGGCGTCGGCAAGCTCGCGGGCTTGCCCGACGAGATCGAGCTCGGCGGCGGTGCGGGCGAGGCTGCCGACCCAGGTCCGGACCGCGTTCGACGTCGCGTCCTCGATGAGCAGGTCAGCAAAAAGCTCGTTACTCATGAGGTCAAGCTGGGCAACGACCAGATCCAGAAGGACTTCGAACGTGGTCGGCTCGTCGGCCCAGATGTGACGGGCGGCGGCAAAAGCCTCGAACCGCGCACGCCAGCCGACAAAGCACGCGCCCGACGAGACGAGAAAAACACCCAGAAAGGCAAAGGCAAACTCGCCAACAACGTCTAGCACGCCGCGCGGCCGCTTTCGTGCCACAGCGCGCAGCATCGGCGAGTTGTCGTGCCCGACCGCAGACCGGCTCGCCCCAGTCACCTGGGCCAGAAACGCCTTGCGCTCAAACTTGGCTAGCCGCGGCAAGTCCTCGCTTCCGCTCTCGCCCCCGTTCTCATCCTGGACCTGCTCGCTCTTTCCCAACATTTCGGCCTCGGCCTCGGAGAGCGGCATGCCTGCACCCGAGAGGACGCCTGATGCCGGCATGAGGGCGGCGACAAGGCCGCGGGTGAGCGGCGCGCTCAGCGCGCGCCATCCGTCGACGGCCGATGGCGGGAACGGCTGCAGCCGGGCGTCAAAGTCGAAGCTCTGGACACCAAGCGCAAGCCGGTATGCCTGGACCGGGTCTGGATGCGGGACGAGGATCTCGGACTTGGGTTCGTAGCGGTAGACAGCGACGGCCTTGGCGCCCGGCCGGCCCTCGTCGGGCGCCAGCGCCTCCTCGAATGACATCCAGAACCCGGTTGGCATGGCATCCGAGCCGTGACTGTCCGCCGCAGCAAAAGTGACAAAGTGCAGCATGTCCAGCGGCAGCATCTTGATGCCAGCGAATGCCTCGGTGACTCTCCATCCCACCCCGTCCACCCCCACCACCGACCCGGCCGGCACGCCGACCACCAGCACCGTCCCGGACTCGGCATTCACCGCCGTCGCCTCTTCGTAGCCCATCTTAGTGCCCATGGACATGCCGGCTCCACCCAGCCCACTATCTCTGTCCATACCGCTGCTCTCGTCGAGTGGTGGCAGCGGTGGGGACGGAGGGATGGGAAGGAGGGGGGGGGGGGGAGGGGGGAGCGGAGGGAGGGGAAGCGGTGGTGTGTGCGACTTGATCGTGATCGTGTTCCTGATCACAGGCAGATCAGGCTGCGATCAAAGGCCCAGGGGGGGGTTGGCACCCCCACCTCGGCAGGGGGTCAGGCAGGCAGGGTCAGGTACCTCGGGGC